ATAAACTTATTTCAAATGAATCTGTTGGGGAGATAAAATGTGTAAGATAACGTTCACGTACTAACAAAAACATCTAAGAATGTATCTTTTATTCTCCAGTACTGAAAACAGAACCGATAAGGGAGCTTTTGATATGCGCTGTGATGCAGCTTTTGCAAATTACCTTTTTTGTTCATTGTCTGTCATTTCGAAGCTTAAGTTGCATATGTTTTTCTTTCGTTTTAATTTGCCGAACTATCGATCTGACCCAGTAGATGCCATAATCCCACTCTGTCTCTCTCCCGTCCCGGTTTTTTTTTTAATGGTGGGTGTTTATGCAGTTGGCTAGAGCAGTGCTGATTGGGGAGAACGGAGGTGCGCTCACTCTTGCCCAGGGCAAGACTGCAACTCAAGGCAGGCAGTCATGCATATGCTCTGGAACAGAGTAATATCGCGTCCACATCGCAGGCTTTGCGATTAGCAAATAGCAACGTCTCAAATCGCGATTTCGATTAATCGCACAGCCCTAGTTGTTAAGTTTAGGTGTGGGGTAGAGATTACGGGATCTAAAATATGGTCATGAAGAGTAAAGCATTAATATGTGCTTTAAAAGTACTAATAAACAGCCAGTATGCTAGTACTGTGCATGCTAATAAGCAACAAGTTAATAGTGAGAGTTATTGCAGTTTCTCCCATTCATAAGTAATAGGAGTGAACCGTCATTGTATATTTATAGGCTTTGATAATGTTAACCAGTAGCCAAAGAGTCTTTCAGGTATTGTTTTAGTGACTTCTATTCAGTCTGTCTTTATATGTAACACCCTCAGTTCATGATCCAGTCGATTTCAATAGATAACGTTCCAAGCTATGTTTTTTCTTATCGAATGTCCTGTTTCACTAGGAAAACATGTGACATTCAGGAAGTTAAGGTTGTCGAACAAACTTATGTTGACGTGCTGTGAATGATGCAGAACTGAATTCCCGTGGCTCTGGTTGTACGACAAGTGTTCTCATTTTGATCATTTTCAGATGTTTTCTCAGCAGATTTTAACATGGCTCATACTTTTAAATGGCATTGCATTGGCGCGTCATTGTTGTCATGCACATGCATTAATTGAAGGGCTCTTCATGACGGTCCAGAGGAGAGTTGCGTCTATAGCAGGGAATTGTTGTTGCCGCAGGGTTTGGATGGCTGTAGAGCAGCGCCTTTGAAAACCGCTCTGTGTGTCGATTCATGAGCAAACCTTGGGCCGGCCTTTTTGATGCCGTATCGAGGGCCTTTTTCAATTTCAACAGAATGAAAGGACATAATGATGCTGTTTTCAGGCCGTGAATATAAATGGGTTTTAATGAATGTTAATATGCTCCTCTCAGTCCTGTTGTAGATGATGAGTAATTGTTGGCTATATTAGCGGTATCTTTATGTCCAAACCTATGTTATCTCGCCAACAAAATTAGTCAAGGAAACATTAATTTGTTCATTGGTAATTTCTCGAACTGCCAAAGATGGGACAAAAAGCTTTATGATCATAAATAGCAGGTTTTAATTTAAATTCTAGTAATCCTGTACAACATATTTACAACGCATAATTCAATATCAATATCATAAATGGACAGTGTTCACACATTATACTTTGTTTGCTGATAAAGCTTTTATAATATGTTTAAATCAGTGTTATTTTTGTATCATTGAAATCCTATTTACTGTAGTTTTTAGTAATATTTTGAATCAGTTCTTATTTTCCTTTTCATTTTCATTTTAACATTTTAGTAATTATGTTTTGTATTTTTGTCATTTTTAGTCATTTTTGGTTTTATATGTCTGTATAGTTTTTATTAATTTCTATTTATAATGATGCTGTTTTCAGGCCGTGCATGAATATAAATGGGTTTTAATGAATGTTAATATGCTCCTCTCAGTCCTGTTGTAGATGATGAGTAATTGTTGGCTATATTAGCGGTATCTTTATGTCCAAACCTATGTTATCTCGCCAACAAAATTAGTCAAGGAAACATTAATTTGTTCATTGGTAATTTCTCGAACTGCCAAAGATGGGACAAAAAGCTTTATGATCATAAATAGCAGGTTTTAATTTAAATTCTAGTAATCCTGTACAACATATTTACAACGCATAATTCAATATCAATATCATAAATGGACAGTGTTCACACATTATACTTTGTTTGCTGATAAAGCTTTTATAATATGTTTAAATCAGTGTTATTTTTGTATCATTGAAATCCTATTTACTGTAGTTTTTAGTAATATTTTGAATCAGTTCTTATTTTCCTTTTCATTTTCATTTTAACATTTTAGTAATTATGTTTTGTATTTTTGTCATTTTTAGTCATTTTTGGTTTTATATGTCTGTATAGTTTTTATTAATTTCTATTTCATTTTGTTATTTTAGTTGACTTGGCAACTAGCTTAAACTTAGTATTATATAACAATATATTTTTTATATATTCTGGTTGATCAATTTTTTTTGATCTGGTTGAAAAATTTGGTTGAATTTTCATCTGTTATAAATTGACACATTCACAGTCATAACATGAAAATCTTTTCTAGAAAAATGATAAATATGACAGTTAAATGACAAAAAATTAGGGCACATATCTGCCAAAAGAAAAAAGCTAAACTGTCTAAAATGACAAAAATAAATAAATAAGTCCTTTATTTTAAAATGATTTTAAAAATGTTAAAATGAGCAACACCTACTTCAACTATACCTACTCAAGATCAATTACAAATCATAAAAAGCTGGTTTCCTGCACCGTGTTCAACTAGCTGTAAACCAAGCTGTTTTGACAGAGCTATCCAGTATCGCAGTGTTCCTGTCCATGAATTATTAAGGTTCATGAGGTGCTGATCATGTTCTCTTTCTCCTCTCTAGTGCCTGAGCTGTGGTGAGGATGAGCAGCAAGCGGAGTTTGTTTTTGCGGCTGGTGCCATGCCGCTGCCTGCAGGGCGAGGAGGACCCCGTCACCTCACTGGACTACTCACATTGCAGCCTGGAGCAAGTCCCGAAAGAGATCTTCAGCTTCGAGAAGACCTTAGAGGAGCTCTACCTCGACGCCAACCAGATCGAGGAGCTGCCCAAAGTATGAGTGCCCTCTTGCGCCACAAACACTCTTATATTGCATGTCTCCAAAAAGTTAATTCAATGCTTAGACGGTGAAACGTTACCCTTTTTTGTTAGCTGGCAAGCAGCACATCCAGTCTACATGTTGTCTTTTTACTGGCAAGCTGTTTACAAGCAATAGATTTGCTTACACAGCAGGCCTGCGATGTGTGGATACGCCTATTTTTGCCTTTTTATGGTTTTCTAGATAAATACATTGAACTACTTATGTATTTGTTTTGAATTGGTTTCAAATCTGTAATTAATTTTTTTTCGGCAACCATCAATTTAACCAAATATTATGAAATATTGTAATAAACTTGCAATTCTGAGAATCATTTTGCAAGATATAAACGTATTTTCAGAATAAAGTCAGAATTGTGAGATGTTAACTCCAAATTGTAAGATATAAACTCTAAACTGTGAGAAATAAAGTCATAAAGAATTGTTATAAACTGACAATTCTGTGAAAAAAATTCATAATTTTGACATGTGAACTAGGGCTGGGTATCGATTCAGATGTCCCGATTCGATTTCGATTCGCAAGCTTTCGATTCTTGATTTTTTATTACATTCAGTGAATATAGTTTTAATACAAATGCTATTGATATATCTAAAAAATTAACAGTAAACATCAATTTACAAATAGTGAATTAATAAAAAGACATTAAGAACCACATACCTGTATTTTAAACCTATTCAGTTTTTTTTTTGACATGCTTTCTGTTGTAACATCACGCAAGGTAAATAAGGGTGACATCTAGTGGAGAAGACTAATGATAAGATTCACGTTAATCAGATCTTGTTTTAAATGTGTGCTGAAACAAATACCGAAAAAGATCAATTCGCAGCTTTTGAGAATCGATATTGAATCGACGTCATTTAAAGAAATTATTAATCGAAAAATAAATTTTTTTGCCCAGCCCTAATGTGAACTCAGAATTGCGAAATATGAACTTGCAATTCCGATAAAGTTAGAATTGTAAGTTAAAAATCCACAATTATGTTTATTACGTTTCAGAAATGTGCTTCCATAAAATGTTGTAACTAAAAAAGATTAGTATTTTAATGTAAGAAATACTAAATCTTTCTTCACTAGATGGGGACAAGAATAATTTAATAATTTCTTCATTTATATGCACCAATATGACAAAACATAGTAATTAATCGTAATATTTGCAGTAAGAGTCATTGAATCAAAGTTTTGAAGCGGTTCATTATAATCGACAGTTCGAACTGATTTTCAGAAAAAACAAACATCAACTTCGCTATTAAAACATCAGCTCAACATTCAGCTCTTTCATATTTGCGAGTTATGAGACAAGATGGGTTAAAATCATTCCAGTATTCACTAGAGCCCGTTTTTTTTGGGGACCGATACCGATATTAGGGAGCAAAAAAATATTATTTGTTTATTACAGTACAGTACCAGTCAAAAGTTTGGACACTTTCCCATTGTGTGTGTGTGTCCAAACGTTTGACTGGTACTATATATAGAATACAGTATATACATAAACAGAATATATATATATATATATATATAAACATAAACACATTTTTGCAATGATCACTCATGTGGTGATCAAACACTTATAATGACGTGACAGAGATACGTAATGGAGGCAGGGCATTTAACAATTTAACAATAAACTTTAGTATCCAAAATGAGTCTGACATCAGTGCACTGAACAGTAAAGTTGAAGTTTATTCAACTTTATTTCAATTCAGTTCCATTCAACTTTATTCCGTTGAAGTTTATTTCACTTTGGAACATTCATTCACGGATTTGCGCTACTGTCTTCACACACAGAGACGAAACTTACTAGAGAAGTGTGAAGTGTGACATAATATACCTCTGTAAATAAATACAATTTAAATTCATGTCTCGCGCACTTTAATGCCCTTTGAATGAAACGTGTACGTTCCCTTGGAACTGGAATCATGGCGCAATATCATGTGAAGTCCACTTTGCAGGGCACTTACGGTCGAATAAGACAACGCTTGAATGCTGCTGCCTGAACAAGAGACCTCCTTACTGAAGTGAAAGTGTTCGCTTATGTCACTCGCGACACTCGTGTCTCACGAACGCGGCGGCGGATCTCCACCAAATTTAGGGATTCCTTCAGCTCGAGGAGCCCTCTCGAATGCCACCCTCCGCGCGTAGGTAGCCCCCCCGAGATCCCAAGGTCGTCGGCGCCTGGCCGCAAATTTAACCGCAAAAAATGTTTCTGAAGACAATCATCTGTTGCACCTTTAAGCTTTTAAGCATTTCATCCAGGTTGCCAGAAGCAAACAACGGAGCGCGCTCTGCTGGAGAAACTACGTAATTACACCAGTTACAAGCATTTTATCTGAGTTTTATGTTCTGTAAAAAAATGTATCATATCGGTGGCATATCGGCGGCATATTCGCCGATACCGATATATCTGCGACAGGCTCATATTGGCCGATAATATCGGCAAAACAATATATATAGGGTCGGGCTCTAGTATTCACTGTGTTGCTTAATTGATGTCGCTAGCAAAGTCATAACAAATATATGATGAATATTCAATATTTCAGCCAGCCAGGATGTCTAGTAAAATTCATGTTGGTTACAATTAAAGTCTACAAGTATTTGCGATCAGGTTTTTAAGTAAATCCAACTGCTCATCAAATATTAATATGAAGTTTGATCTTACTAACTTTTTCTCTTTCTTTACAGCAACTTTTCAACTGCCAGTTGCTCTACCGATTGAGTCTACCGGACAACGACCTGACGGTGCTGCCACCGGGCATCGCGAACCTCATCAATCTCAAGGAGCTCGACGTCAGCAAGAACAGTAAGAAAAGCGGCTAATTCATCTCCTCATTCTTTTTCCTTTTCGGAGTCCAGTTACGCTATCGGACGACCCATAACCGAAGCGGAGGCACACTGATATCCGCACGGACCCACTGACCTGCTGTAATCCAATTCATCACGGCCAGCTCCACGTTTTGGATTTCAGTTTGCGCTGAAACACACAATTCATTAATTCCAGCCTGCACACTTGCGAATCCTAATAAATTAACATTCGTGTGTTGTTCATTGGTTTAGAATTGTGTGCAATCCAAGTCGATAATCCAAATCTAACAGCATTTCAGTCAAATTAAACATGCAGTCTTTGTATGTGCGACGCGTTTGGAAGTTTTACGCTATTCATTTAGCAACATGCTAACATCCCTAATCACTGGGTTCTGTTTCCTACCTCTGTGCTTCTTCATCTAGCAGCTTTAAATGCGTGGACGTGAAGCTAGCTGCCTATCTAGATCCGCACTCGATTTGATATTGTGTGCACTGATGGCGATCAGAAATTTGTCACTGGAAACCGTTCATTCACCGTTTATTCCGTTCTGAGCGAATGAGCGAAGACCACAACACTACAAACACATGCTCAAATCACTTTGTGTCTGTGTTTACACATCACTTCATCTTTCAGCTGGTGCGTTGCAGGATCTGATAAAGTAATGACAGACAGTGACAAGCTCAGCCGAGCACAGGAAGTCTGCTCAAAATATATGATGGAAGGATGTTCAAAAAAAATTTTTTTATGTAATACGCTGTCACATCCTAACAGTAGTGATTTTGATTAGTTTGTCATTTTTTACACTTTTAGTAATAGTTTCAGGGTTTCCTTAGCTGACTAGTTTGAAAATATGTTGTTTGCGCATCCTTAATTTGCAAATGAACATGCTGATTTTTTTTCAGCAAAATGTATTTTCTGCATTTCTAGAATATTAAATATATATATGCGTGCATGTGTGTGGTTTGCTCTGTGTGGCGTGCGATGGTTTAGTTTGCATCTGAGTGCGTTGAAGGGAGGGTATCTTAACATCACATTTATGTCACACTCCAGCTCTTGCGGTTAGTAGGACAGGAAGTAAGCAGTCTAGCTCTAATGCTGCTTTTCTAAAAACAGCGTTAGGTTTCTGTTTTCTTTGGTGGTCGATTTTGAGAAAGACCTAGTTGTTCAAGTGTTATTACTTAAGTGGGGCACAGACAGTGATGTGGCTAGGCATGGGCCGGTATGAGGTTCTGACGGTATGATAACCTTAGATAAAAAAAAATATCAGTTTCACAATATCACGGCATTGCGATTACAGCTCTAAAATATGTTATTTTTAAATGTCTGGGTAAAAAAACTACTTTTTTTCCACTGAACACATATAGAACATATAGAACATTTTGGAACAGTAAACATGTCAGGCTAAATAATTAGAATAAATAATTAAATTATTCTTAATTAAATGCAGTCATAGCTGGTGCGTTGCAGGATCTGATAAAGTAATGACAGACAGTGACAAGCTCAGCCGAGCACAGGAAGTCTGCTCAAAATATATGATGGAAGGATGTTCAAAAAATTTTTTTTTATGTAATACGCTGTCACATCCTAACAGTAGTGATTTTGATTAGTTTGTCATTTTTTACACTTTTAGTAATAGTTTCAGGGTTTCCTTAGCTGACTAGTTTGAAAATATGTTGTTTGCGCATCCTTAATTTGCAAATGAACATGCTGATTTTTTTTCAGCAAAATGTATTTTCTGCATTTCTAGAATATTAAATATATATATGCGTGCATGTGTGTGGTTTGCTCTGTGTGGCGTGCGATGGTTTAGTTTGCATCTGAGTGCGTTGAAGGGAGGGTATCTTAACATCACATTTATGTCACACTCCAGCTCTTGCGGTTAGTAGGACAGGAAGTAAGCAGTCTAGCTCTAATGCTGCTTTTCTAAAAACAGCGTTAGGTTTCTGTTTTCTTTGGTGGTCGATTTTGAGAAAGACCTAGTTGTTCAAGTGTTATTACTTAAGTGGGGCACAGACAGTGATGTGGCTAGGCATGGGCCGGTATGAGGTTCTGACGGTATGATAACCTTAGATAAAAAAAAATATCAGTCCAAGTTATGATGCAGGAATGTTCACCTTTCCCGGATTAAGTTTGGAGCTATGGTTAGGATCGGTGAGGTACGAGGATGTGTGCACATCAGAGCATGTGAGCGAAGCGGAGCGGTGTGACGCTCCTCTACGTTTTCCGCTCTATGGATGTGCGCTCCACTCAGTCGCTCTAACCGCCCAAGCAAGCGCTCCGTTAATATTCCGCTCATGCTCACCGTAAACCAATTCCCGCTCAGATCCCGCTCCGTTCTGTAAAGAACAAATTTGCGTGCATTATATTAGATTATAAATTACTGCTGCCTATATCTAGCCTACATTCTGTAGGACTAGCTATTGTTTCGGGTCAGTTATTATTTTTTTATAATATTTTAATAGGCCTAAGTGGTGTAGGCTAATATCTTCTGTACTCTGTAGTTCTGTATTTAGGCCTATATACAGCTGTGTGTTAGCTTAGGTCTACAGTTTAACTGAGATTATTTAATAACTACGGAGCTCCGAATATAATTCGAATTAACAATTTGTTTCTACGACGTCAGCAGGTTTTATTATTTTTTAAATTTATTTTTATTTATTAAGTTTAAGCAATAATGATTTTAATAAGTAATTACGAAATATAATAATTCGTTCCACGATTTAGGCCTACTATAGGGAAATGAACGAATTAACGAACGAATGAATTTGTGGCAGCTAAGCCTAAACAAGAGAATGAATACTTAATTTGTGGCCATAATTTAGACTAAATGAAAAAATTAATTCTTAATTCGTGGCCATAATGTAGTCCTAGCATAAAAGAGAACTAGCCTATTCTAAATTTGTGGCTGTGATTTTGTCTGCATGTCATGATCGGGGCTCCGTACAACCGAATATAACCTTAGCCTACCTGTTTATTCATTTATTATGGTATGTAATTAGCTCACCTTTTGCTGCACCATGTTTGCGTAGCACATCCTCGTGCTTTCTGTAATCAATAAGAACCTGTACTAACTTTAACAATCTCCACGAACTCCCTCTCAGTTTCTTCTCCCTGCTCATTCTTAACTTAGATTTTTACTTTACATTTATGTATAAGGCTTGCAACTTCGTTGAAACAATATCTGAACTCCATAACTGCTCTACTATTCTCGATCTCTACAGATTCTCGATCTCGAACAAGCAAATCACCAAACGGCATTCTGGGTTGAGCGAGCGGCACTGAGCGTATTGAGCGAGCGGAGCAGAATCTTCAGAAAGGCGCTCTGCGCTCTTAAGGAAATATTACCACTCCGCTCCCCGCTCCACTCCGCTCACATGCTCTGGTGCACATACACACATAAGGAAAGAGAGAGCGCGAGTGTCACACACACGGGCTCTCCGTACAACACTCAAACAGTGGCAAAGTTTGTTTTTTTGTTTTTTAAATGCGTGATTTTGAACAGATGTAAACAATGGCAGGAGGCTTAAAAGTATAGACGTGATACCAGCTAAATTGAATTGTTGTACTAAATTGCAGAAAAGTAGGCTACAGTGCATACTTTAGACTGCTATTCCTCACTCTGTGAAGTAATGTGAGGGAGGAAACTAGTTGACGTTAGCTAGTTAATTAGCCATGTTATCTGCCTCGGCAGCAAGCCAAATAGTATTTATTTCAACACAAACAAACGGCGGGAGGGTCTCTGTCTTGATCGGGGGGGAAAGAGGGAGAAATGAAGATGACACAGATATATAGTTTATGTTCGACTTGGAAGTATTTATTTAACGATCGGCGCTAAAACGTCATCTGTACAGAACATCATTGTGTACGGAACATGGGTAGTCTACGTTACCCAAAAAATTTCCATACGACAGACTTCGTCTTTTTTGACGGGGGAAAAAGTTCCAGGGATTCACCTCCTTCGGCCATCCCACACACAGGTGACTCCACTCGCAGCAACCGGAGGGGGAGGGTTGTGTGACTCGCTACGCTCTTCGCTGCACACAATTGAGGGAGTCCTGCACTTTCCATCTTTAACGACACGTAAAAAAAACAGCGCATACCGCAGGAACGGTATAATGGAAAATTTTTGTGAAACTTTTCCAAACCGCGGTATACCTTGAAACAGGTTATCGTCCCATGCCTAGATGTGGCTCATATGAATTTCAGCTATTTATGTTAGCATATTCAAATTCTGATTTCAGATAGTACTTCTAATCCCAAAACCCCCAAATATTTAGCATATACATAAACTTTATATACTGGAAGTATACTTTATTATTATTTGGAGCTCTAATACTATTAGTAGTTCTTATCACTATTGAAAACGTTTTTTGCTGCTTAATATTTTTGTGGAAACAATGATGAATAGAAAGTTCAAAAGAACGGCATTTATTTGCAATAGAAATGTTTTTACCGTCACGTTCTGTTATCATTTTGTTATCTTATTTTGTTTTTATCTTACTTGCACCAAACGTTTGTCTAGTACTGTATCACGGTTTCCACAATCATGTGAAGCAGCACAACTGTTTTCAACATTGATAATAATCAGAAATGTTCTCGAGCAGCAAATCAGCATATTAGAATGATTTCTGAAGATCATGTGACACTGAAGACCGGAGTAATGGAATCACAGGAATAAATTACATTTTAAAATATACTCAAATAGAAACTGTTATTTTGCATTGTAATAATATTTCACAATATTACTGTTTTTCCTGCATTTTTATGAAAGAAAAAAAGTAAGTGCAGCCTTGGTGAGCACAAGAGACTTCTTTCAAAACATAAAAAAACAGGTAGTGTAGGTCAAGTGCTATTTTATATTACACTTGAAATCTGTAAATACAATTTCTAATATAATTAGAAATATATCAAAAATAATTTGAATAAAATGTATATTTAGTTTTTTGTAATAGTGTAAGTTTCCAGGATGTTTTTAAATTAAATAATGTGTTTGTATATTTATTGTCTGTAGTTAATCGTAATGGAACCCAATGTTGTACAGATTGTTTAAATGTTTAAAAAAAACATGAAACCAGCAATTAATAACTGAATAAGTAATCTTTTTTTTTTCTTTAAAATTCCAGGCATCCAGGAGTTTCCTGAAAATATCAAGAACTGTAAAGTCCTGGCCATCGTAGAAGCGAGTGTGAACCCTATATCAAAGTAAGTACATAGCTAGCAGAAATTAACTGTGTGTGCGTTCTGTCTGTGATGTAATGAAACACTCTTGTGTCTCTGCAGACTCCCAGAAGGCTTCACGCAGCTCCTCAGCCTGAACCAGCTCTACCTGAACGACGCCTTCCTAGAGTTCCTACCGGCCAGTTTCGGCAGGTCAGACACACACACACACCCCTCACACACACCACACAGGTGACTCCACTCGCAGCAACCGGAGGGGGAGGGTTGTGTGACTCGCTACGCTCTTCGCTGCACACAATTGAGGGAGTCCTGCACTTTCCATCTTTAACGACACGTAAAAAAAACAGCGCATACCGCAGGAACGGTATAATGGAAAATTTTTGTGAAACTTTTCCAAACCGCGGTATACCTTGAAACAGGTTATCGTCCCATGCCTAGATGTGGCTCATATGAATTTCAGCTATTTATGTTAGCATATTCAAATTCTGATTTCAGATAGTACTTCTAATCCCAAAACCCCCAAATATTTAGCATATACATAAACTTTATATACTGGAAGTATACTTTATTATTATTTGGAGCTCTAATACTATTAGTAGTTCTTATCACTATTGAAAACGTTTTTTGCTGCTTAATATTTTTGTGGAAACAATGATGAATAGAAAGTTCAAAAGAACGGCATTTATTTGCAATAGAAATGTTTTTACCGTCACGTTCTGTTATCATTTTGTTATCTTATTTTGTTTTTATCTTACTTGCACCAAACGTTTGTCTAGTACTGTATCACGGTTTCCACAATCATGTGAAGCAGCACAACTGTTTTCAACATTGATAATAATCAGAAATGTTCTCGAGCAGCAAATCAGCATATTAGAATGATTTCTGAAGATCATGTGACACTGAAGACCGGAGTAATGGAATCACAGGAATAAATTACATTTTAAAATATACTCAAATAGAAACTGTTATTTTGCATTGTAATAATATTTCACAATATTACTGTTTTTCCTGCATTTTTATGAAAGAAAAAAAGTAAGTGCAGCCTTGGTGAGCACAAGAGACTTCTTTCAAAACATAAAAAAACAGGTAGTGTAGGTCAAGTGCTATTTTATATTACACTTGAAATCTGTAAATACAATTTCTAATATAATTAGAAATATATCAAAAATAATTTGAATAAAATGTATATTTAGTTTTTTGTAATAGTGTAAGTTTCCAGGATGTTTTTAAATTAAATAATGTGTTTGTATATTTATTGTCTGTAGTTAATCGTAATGGAACCCAATGTTGTACAGATTGTTTAAATGTTTAAAAAAAACATGAAACCAGCAATTAATAACTGAATAAGTAATCTTTTTTTTTTTTCTTTAAAATTCCAGGCATCCAGCAGTTTCCTGAAAATATCAAGAACTGTAAAGTCCTGGCCATCGTAGAAGCGAGTGTGAACCCTATATCAAAGTAAGTACATAGCTAGCAGAAATTAACTGCGTGTGCGTTCTGTCTGTGATGTAATGAAACACTCTTGTGTCTCTGCAGACTCCCAGAAGGCTTCACGCAGCTCCTCAGCCTGAACCAGCTCTACCTGAACGACGCCTTCCTAGAGTTCCTACCGGCCAGTTTCGGCAGGTCAGACACACACACACACCCCTCACACACACACACACACACACACACAGTCCTAGACAGAACAAGATCATCCAAGCTCCTGTTTCAGATCAGACAGCATCTAGATCTAAGACTGGCCAAAGTATGTACTACATTAAAATATAAAACAGACAAAACTGTTCCCCGTACACTGAAAGTGTTTTCCAAAGACATCCATCGAGCTTGTTGATTTATGCCAGCTGTTAATCAATTAAAATAACACGTGCAAAATTTCCTCGGAAAGCACCTCCTAACGTTTCCTGGAGCTCATATCATATCTAAAGCCTCAGGAATCGTGCGTTCCTATGAAATTGCAGTGCAGTTCCTGTGAAAGGTCGTGTAGCAGTACTTTTGACATCATAAACATGCACCCACGGCCTGAAATAGACTTCAAATGATCACGCAACATGCAGCTCAGTTCCTATTTCTTGCTGGGAGGTCACCTGAGGACAACAGTTTACATACTTCTATTGAATACTAAAAAGAGGGCAGTATATTTTGAATGTGTAGTAAGTCACTAGACCAGTATTGGGACATTAAATTAGCACCTCTATTCTAGAAAAACATGTAAATGTTCATTAGCATCTTGCTATTACATTTTTTTTATCTTGAAAATCATTGTTACTTAACATTTGTGTTGCATTTTAAACCTCATGTTTGTACATTTTGAACTGAAAATGCAAAAACAAAAAATATTTCCAGTGGAAATAATATACTATTTCAGGCACCTTTTATTTAATTTAGTTTTATTTAATTTTATCTGAGTTGTTGTCAGTTTATAAATATTTTATAAATGTATGTATTTTTATATAAATAATTTATATATATTTTCTCTCTGTCTCGGTTTCCTCAGACTAACCAAACTGCAGATTCTGGAGCTGCGGGAGAACCAGTTAAAGATGTTGCCAAAGTAAGTGCCCCTCTGGGATTTATTTGAATTACTAAAATATTAAAATGATGATCCGTGCTGCTGCACCTCTTCTGATAATCGCATTATAAATACAGACAAACGTCTCTCTCTCTGTCCCTCTATGGCATCATATTGTTCAGTCTTACGTAAGAGGCTCTGAAGTGACATGCTGTGACAGGTTTTATAATCATTTCTGGCTCTGGAGACAATATTGCATCATATGAGTGCTCGTTTTTTGGTGATTTTTTTTTTTACATGGCGGATGATAAAACGGCCAAAAATGATCTTGTGACATCTGTAAAAAAACATCCATTGTCAATAGTGTAGTGATGTATGAAGCACAGCTCACACAGGCTATGTTCACACTGCAGGAACATGTGGCCCAAATCTGATCCCTAATCTTTTATGCTCACATGTGACTTAGATCTGTTTTTCTCATGACAGTGTGATGAAAAACTTTCATGAAAAAACAGCACAAACCACATGGAATCTGATCTTTTCAATTCCGATTTGTGCCACATCCACATGTTTTGGAATGCGACCGCAGTGTGAACAGTCATATCGGAATTCATGCGACTTTTACGCCACTCTAGATCAATAACTCGTCACTTTTCTGTGCTTGTGGGAGTCACTTCAAAGATTTTACATAGCCAAAGTTATCAAGACAGTTGCAAAAGGTAGTCACTGGAAGTACAATGACGTGTCATAACTCATAGGTATTACAGTGACAACTCTATATACAAGCAAAACATAATGGCTCGTATCATAAAAGTTTCAAAACTCGGCTCACCTCTGTAACATCCTTGTCTTTTTTTTTTCATATTGCCTGAGCATAATTTCGTTGGCTTCTGAGGCAGATCACACTATAAATAAAAGCATAACCACTTACTTCCTCTGTGTTTACTTCTGTATGAAAGCGCAGCGCGCTGTAAGCAAGCAATTGGCAAGTGTTGCCAAGTCCACAATTTTCATGCGGAATTGGGATACTTTTTTACTGTTGCCACGGGTTGTTTTTCAACTCTGTGGGTTAAAGCGACCCCATTAATGGATATTTACCCCCCGGATTGCGATTGCGCTAGTTTTGGACTCGTTTTGGACTTTGGATTTGAGAAGCAATTGGGCAGATTTTATTGTGAAAACCTGGCGGCAACCCTGTTTGTGTTGTTCTTTTGCACATGCGGGTCAGTTCAGAACCATGATCTGTTCACACTGGAAATCTGATATTGGCCACATTTAAAACAACAATGTGAACAGCTATACAAAAAAAAATCAGATCCAAGTAAAAATCAGAATTGAGAGCACTAGTGTGAACATAGTCACGGTCACTTTCAAACCGAGCAGCTTTCTCTTGGTCAGTGCGGTGAATTCAATGCAATTAACTTCATCCATGATTGCATGGATTCCTATTGAAATGATTTGGTTTCACCCCCGAAAATTCTCCCAACAACAGTAAATGTGACCACTAGGGTTGGGTAACGTTCACATTTTAACTGGTACGGTACCGGTATCGGTACCTGAATGTCAGTGCCGGTACCCAACGGTACCTTTTTTTTTAAACCATATGGCCCTAGAAATGTAACCACACGTATGCGCCCAGATGCGATCTCAGTTACCGAAATTTGGCACCGGTTGATTTAACGTGAATCGGTACTCTGTAGTACCGACGCAATTCGGTTGGCACGCTTAAAAGTACCGAGTTCGGTACCCAACCCTAGTGACCACACCTTTAGGCTTTACATTAAAGGAGACATCTGAGCCATATCTAGAGACCAAAATATCATAGTCTTTGAGGGCAGGCAATTTTTTTTATATTGGACCGAGAGCTTCCTCCTAGAAGACCCATGCAACTATAAAACACACTAACAACCATGCAAAACACATCATAACTCCCTAGCAACTATATGATGACATCTAAGGTTTGAACTACTCACATTTTCTTCAAAAATATCACATGCAACATACATGGACTGTTTTGGATCAGGAAGTATAGCAGGATGATTGCACTCTGTAATCAAATGCAGACAGACGTGCATCGCTTACTCATTTACCATTATTACCCTGTGCTCTGATAACTTTATCACTCTGATTTCACATTTAGCCCTGTGCCATTTCAGCAATCCTCTCAGATGTTCACTGTGTGGTTTGTTCTCATGATGTGTGTGTCTGTGTTTCTAATGAGCTGTGGATTGCTCAGCACTCTGGGGGTCAGTGAGTTTTTTGGCTGGCTGTCTGGTTGCATGCTTCACACAGCCCTGCCTCCAAACGCTGGATGAATGAATCCCACTTACAGTCCTCTAAGCCAACAATCAGTGTGTCTTTCAATACAAAATTCACTATAAAAAAACAGAGTTTGCCTTCCGTTTATAACCATTTGTTAATACAATTCCCAGAGCCATATATCATTTTGACTTCAAGCTTTTCCACGGATGCGATACGCCCACAGGCTGTTGATCTGTGTCCAGGTCCACGTCAGCAGCGGTTTAAAGCACGCCCTGCCCTGAAGCACACCTACCCGACTAGATGATGTTAGTTCAATGTTTGACGCAGATACTGAGATTGCAGGAGCAGATTGGAACAGGAGAACGTGTTATAAAGATTGAAAAGACGCAGATGCACATAGATTTTCAGCATTCTGTGAAAAAAGCCCAATTGGATGCTTAAAATGATTTGTAAGCATTCAGTAAGGTGACAATAAAATCTTTGATAGTAGTCAACTTAAAAATAAGACAAGTTAACAAGTATTCGCTTGCAATAAAAGTCCAATAAACTTAATTGTAAGTGCATTTATTTATTGTTTCCAAAGAAGTATTTTCAATATTGATATTAAATCAGCATATTAGAATGATTTCTGAAGGATCATGTGACACTGAAGACTGGAGTGCATTACAGCTTTGATCACAGCAATAAATTACATTTTAAATGAATGATGATTTCAAATTGCAATAATATTTCACAATATTATGTTTTTTCTGTATTGCTGATCAAACAAATTCAGCCATAATGAGCAGAAGAGACTTCTTTAAAAAACATTACAAATCTTACTGATCCCAAACTTTTGAATGTGTGTGTGTGTGTGTGTGTGTATATATTTATTTATTTATTTATATATATATATTTGTTATTCATTTATGGTTGCTGAACATCTTTAAACTCCATAGCTTGACCTCTAAGTATAAACATGATCTTGGAGAATGTATTATTCTCTGTTTATATACTGGCTCTGACTTTATGTGAAACTGGGGATTGAAGTCTAACATTGCTCTAAAACTGCCAATAAATGTGGATTAGCAGTAACTACTTGTTCAGTAAATGTCTTTGTGGGCCGTTTATTTGCCCTGGGGAGTCACTTGTGCACAGTCTTAAAAAGAAAAGTTGTGGTTGTGACCAGTCTGTATGATGTTTTCCTGCAAAGGCCAGTGAGTGCTCAGATATGTTTATGTGCAAAGCTTAAATGTGCTTAATCCATGGGTAATAATGTTAGTAATACTGTGTCTGTGTGTGTGTGTCTGCAGGAGCATGCATAAGCTCACACAGCTGGAGCGCTTGGATCTGGGCAGTAATGAGTTCACTGAAGTGGTGAGTAGCACCTGCCTGTCTTTCAGGTGTCTCATGCATTACTGCAGCCTGCGTTCACCTTCCAGCTCTCAATGCAGCGAGGTGTCAGATGTTTGACAGTCAATGCAGATGCGCTCATTGAGTCTTTCTCTGTTAGACTGCACCTAATGTGCATTTTTCTCCTCTAATGCTATTCATTGAAAGTAGTGGCAGATTTCCTCACACTGAGGATGTGAAATTGAATTTTGCCTTCTTTCTCTCCAGCCTGAAGTGTTGGAGCAGCTTACAGGAATCAGAGAGCTGTGGATGGATGGAAATAAGCTGACGTTTTTACCTGGGGTGAGTCTTGCACTCATTCTTTGTGCTTTCTTGCCCTTTTCTTTTTTCATTTAAAAAAGCAAAAGTGCATCATGATGACAAATAAGTTGTTTTTAGTTTATTTTTAGATAATTTTTATTACTTATTTGACCTCATTCGTGAAACATGAGTTGAATGTGTATAATGCTTAAAAGAATACATTGTTGTGTAAGTATTTTAGCTTAAATTGATGTTCATGTTTAGTGTACAACTCTACTATGTAGGGGTGCTCCGATCAGGATTTTTGAGGCCGATCACAGAAAGCAGTAGCTGCCGATACGATCACCGATACCGATCTTTTTAAAGCCTTTTTTTATCATTTATAACTATTTATAGTGATGCTCCAATCAGGATTTTTAGACATTTATTCAGGGCCTGAATTTCATTTTTGAAAATGGGGGGGAACACCCCTCTTAGGTATCTCTTGTGAGAGGAGAAGCAGCACAGACTGTGCTTTCACACAGGAGTCCACTACTGGCTGTTTACCACAAACACAACATTTATCCATTATTTTGATTTCAAATCCAAACATTGTCACTGAAAATGCTTTTTCAGCATTGCAATTTTTTTTTTACACAGTACAGTAATACAATCTTTCACAGACATGTTTAAACACAATAAATATAAGCACATTATTGTGCTTTTTATATTTTTTTATAGATTTATATATTAAGTTGCTCAAGCAAGTGGCAAAACAAAACTACTTTTCTTATGTTATCACAAACTTACCATTGACAGAAATAGTCAGCTCTACTGCCTTTACTTTTGCATTGAAATCTTTATTACAAGCAATCCTGCGGTTCATAAAGAACTTTGTTTTCCTACCTCCACGAGTGCCATCTATTATTGCCTTGTTTATCTAAAAGTGCTCTTTCCCTTTAAACCTAGTCAAAAAGCCATATGTGTTGACTGTGAAACACAGTAGACTTTAATAAAATGCATTTATGATGTAACTACATTTTCGTGTCAATCCATGACATATTCATATTTACTGCAAACAATGAGCTGTTACTTTAAATCAGCACTTGCAGCGCAGCAATAGAGTCGGTGCGGAAACAATCTCTGCTCTGCTGCAGACGCGCACCGCACCTGAACGCACTGCCGGACAGCAACCGTGTGCAGTGAACGTTTTAATCCGTTAACATGAGCACGGAAAAAATATGCACCACGTATGCACTGCAGACAGAGTAATAATTCAAGTTTCATGTGGAATGCTTGCTTTTGTTGCAATGAGGCTGAATAGTTTAATGAAAGTTTTACACAGTCAATTTTTCTGCTGATGTTTCATGAATGAGGAATGAGATTTTTCTACTACGTAGCTGCTGTTTGTCACGGGCGCATTGAAATAATGGAGTTTAGACAAATAGGCATCCATGGCAGCTGGAGAAAATCTACTTCCTAAACATTTCTTCAGGATCCCTGTACTTCTCCTCAGACTGTCAGCTCCTTTTAAATAGGTCGTAATTAAGGCATTAGCTTGCTGCTGAGAGCAGACTGACAGTAATTGTGGGCCTCGCTGGATTAGGAGTTTTCAGAACATCCTTTTGAACACGTCTGCTAAAACTCCTCCAAATGGCCCAGATATGAGGATGGCACCCTGACCTCCTTCCCTCTCTGACCACCGAGATCAGTTTAATGATGGCATGTCCTTGCGCAACATGTTTCTCTCTTTGCAGAATTCAATTTCTCTCTCATTATTAGTGATTTTGATTAAGCTTCTTACGCCCCACCCAGAAGAACGGCTCTCACTCGTGGTGATTAATCAACAGCAGGGTTTGTCACAAAGTCGCACACGGGCGCTGATTGCAGTTTGGCCATATCGCTTCTAATTGGTCGTCTGAAGTTCAAGATTCCTGTGTCCTGTGCAGTATTACTCATGCTCCCTTAAAGAGATAGTTCACCCAAAAATAAAAAATTTGCTGTTAAGACTTTGTCTTCAGTAGAACAGTAAAGAAGATTTCTAGCTGAAATGGTGGTCATTGCTGATTCATAAAATGCAAGTCAACGGCTGCCTGTCTTTGAGAATAAAAAAAAGCAAATTAAGGACACAAAATGACGATATATTGAGGTCTTATGAAGCGAATTAATCGGTCTGTGCAAGAAACTGAACTGTATTTACAGCATTATTATTACCTCTGATCCAGAGCCTCGGGCAAATGGCTTGGTCCACAAATGAATCATTTTTTTAACCGATTCTTTTTAATGAACTGGATGAACCAGTTCACCAAATTGAACTGAACCATCTGAAACAGTTTGCGGCTCGAGCAGCACAGATCTACAAGTCACTCAATCAAAACTTTCAGATGCCTGACAGTCACTCCGACTTGAAATAGCCAAAATAGCGACGTATCTGATAAACAGCAACCTGATAAACTGCGCCTAAACTATGACCCAGTTCTCTATAACCCATCAGTGTACTCACACTAAATTAGCATGCTTTTCGTGTTTTGTGCCGATTGTGGTGAGAAATGTCAGAAACGTGAGCTGCAAGTGCTAAATGATAGCTGAAAGCAGTCAGATAGTACAGAGTGTCCTCTCAAACCTCACAATGCATGTCAATAAGTCACAGAGAAATAATACTCTTGCCCATATCTTATTATAATGAATAGTCAAGTAAATAATTCAGTAGTTTTAAATGAGAACCAGACCAACATTTTGTTTGAGTGAATGCTGTAAATGAGCAGACCCATAAGCCACTGCATGATACAGACAGAAGGCTTCGTAACGGGTGTGTGAATGAGGGAAGTGCACATCCATATGGGCTCGCCGAGAGGAATTGCTTTGCTTGATGTGTGTGTGATAGAAAGAAAGAGAGAAACAGACTGTGGTATTCATCAAAAAAAGAAGCCAACCGTTGTACCTGATTCTCACCACCTCTTACTTTGAGCTTGTTTCTAAACATGCCGGTTATCCCTTATGTCAGATTAGATTTCCTAGTCCGTGGTTAAAAAAAATATGAATGGGATTATGAATATGTGATTGCAAGGATTCTGTTTTAATCCCAGCCAGGATTGTAAAGCACACTGATTAAGCACGACTAATTTTTCATTAGTCTCAATGTCTTTTCCCATCACACTGATATGACTGCATTTTTCTAATTTATAATGACTCAGTAAATATATATATATATATATATATATATATATATATATATATATATATATATATATATATATATATTTATATGT